AAAAAAAAAAAAAAGATGCATTCCAATTTTGGAGTTGTAAAAAATTCTGCTTCTTGGGGACACCTGGCTGGCTCAGTGGGTGGTTGTGGGTTCGAGCCCCATATCGGGTGTAGACATTACTTAAAAATAAAATCTTTAAAAAAAAATTGTGCCTCTTGGGATGAATGAATTATTGTGGTAGTAAATGCAATCTTTAAGTCTGGTCTCTCTTTCATCCTCCATAGCCAATCAGTCACCAAGTCCTATTGCTCTCACTCTCATCTATCCTCCACTGCCCCTCCCCCCTTTCCTGAATGAACTATGGTAATGGTCTACTGCAATCTTTACCTTGTATCTCTTTTCTCTTTCCTAGCCTTTACCCCCCAAATTCAATATTTGTTCTACTGTCAAAATTACCTTTCTGGAACACAAATCCAATCATTATCTTATCCTGCTTTAAAAAAATGTTTAATCATTTTCAAAAATCAATAGCTTCCCACCATCACATTCTTTAGCAGAGTATACAATGCCTCTTCCCATTTGGCTCAAAGCTATACTCTTTGGCTCAGTACCTCACTATTTAGCCATAATTCCTGTGTTCTCCCTCATGAGAGGGCTACTGTGCCTCCAAACTTTTGACCTGGATAATAGACCTTCTGCCTGAAATCTTCCTTTCCTCTCCCTTGCCTCCCCAGCCTTACTCTCCCTTGTGCTCCTGGAGCACAGTCTCCATCCTCCAAGATGCAACTTTAATATTGTTTCCTGCCTTTTCCTTCCTTCTACAGGTCCAGAGAATTCAGAAAGTGAGCTACCAGAGAGCACTAACTTCATCATATTCACATTTATGTCCCTATCCCTTAACGGATTGCTTGATAAACAGGTACTCAATAAATATCTATTAAGTAAATAAATGTATCATGCACTCTAATGTCTTCATATATGAAGACATGCTAGAAACTTTTAATTACAATGATATCAAACCAACTTACAGCTTTAACTGTAACATAGCCCATTTTATGGCTAAATTAACAAGTGAATAAATTAATACAAAGACATTTTAATGTGGCCATAAAAAGAAAATACTGTAAATCTATGTTTTGACAGACCCAAGAATTTTAATAAATCGTACTGCTGTCCCTTGTTCTTAAGCAGATAGGCTCGCAAGTCAGGTTTAACGTATGAAACTCCATTTTGCCAGGGAAACCGATGGGGGTAAAAATGTTTTAACCTAGGAGGGTCCACTCTGTCTGTCCTGCTGCCTGCATGAAACCAGAGGGAGCAGGCAGGCTCTCACAGCATCACTCCTAGGAGTGACGAGCCTCACTGGGAAGAGAATAAGGCCATCTCCCAACCCTGCAGGCCAGCCAGGTGATGGCAGCAACACCGAGAGAAAACCAACTTGTAGTAAGCACTCACCTAGCCCTGGGGTAGGCATTTTCTCATTGTTACCTCCTGTAATTTTTACAACAGTGCCATGAGGTATTACCTTTATTTCAGAACATAAGTAAACTGAGTCTCAGAGGTGAAAGAAGTTCTCCAAGGAAATGGAATTCACAGCCAAAGCCAGGCCAACCTGATGACAAATCACATGCTCTGTCATCCCCTTCCCTGGCTAAGACCACTGTATAAAAACCAGAAGACTCAGGCCTTCAGAATCAAAAGCAAATTCTTCCCTGAGGTTTCCTTAAGGTTAAACCTTTAGATAACCTCCTTCTAAGTTACCTTCCCTATCTTAATAACATAGATCCAAAGTAAGTCCCCTATATATTCACTCATTCAAAAAAATACCAAGTGACTAATATACCCTGAGGAACTATGCTAGATACTTTTAATTACAAGCATGCCAAACCAACCTACAGTTGTCAATTTAACACATAACACACTGTTTTGCAAGATAAATAGGCCTTAGAATCCATGTTTTTCCACTTAGAAAAGGTTAAACTACCAAAAATAAGCAGATAAAATAATGATAAATAAGCCAATGGTTGACAAAAATAACCAACAAAGAACATGAATTAAGAACAAATTCAGATTTTTTTAAAGATATTTTTTAATTAATTAATCTATCCATCTATCTATTTATTTATTTGACAGAGAGAGCAAGAGAGCACAAGCAGGGAGAGCTGCAGAGGGAGAGGGAGAAGAAGACTCCCTGCTGAGCGGGGAGCCTGTCTCAGACCTCGATCCCAGGACCATGAGATCATGACCTGAGCCAAAGGCAGACGCTTAACTGAGCCACCCAGGCGCCCCATGAATTCAGATTTTTAATAGTTAGGAACCTTGAGAACCATACTTCAGTTTTCCCTTAGCTTTTAACATCTACCAAAAATATTAGCTGGCAATGTACAATCTATTCTCTACATCACATTCTACTGGGTATTTTGAGACATTGATTCAAAAGCATGAACTGATACCGTTTCTTACCCTCAGAGAAATTATTAAAATGTATTTTAAAATATTAAAACAACTGGGGAAGGCTTTTATGTAGCAAAAACACATATTATTGAAGTCTATGGTGAATTTATAAAAACCAATAGGGACTAAATAGAGTCTAGAGACAGAAAATAAAACAGGCAAAAAATTATTAAGCTTAGTTACTAAGTTCTCACTTTACAAATTCTTTAAAATTCACAATACATTAACTCTCCTATTTGATATTTTCCACTACATCTTCAATAAAACTCTCCTTAAAAATTAAATTCATTAGGGGCACCTGGGTGGCTCAGTAGGTTAAGCAACTAACTTGGTTTTGGCTCAGGTCATGATCTCAGGGTCCTGAGATAGAGCCCTGCTTTGGGCTCTGCAGTCAGCAGGGAGTCGGCTTGTCCCTCTCCCTCCCCTTTTGCCCCTCCCTTTCTGCCACGCACACTCTTTCTCTCCCTCAAATAAATAAATCAAATCTAAAAAAAAAATTTAATTAATAATACTACTAAGAAGGATAACACATGCATTTATGAAAACAATGCTTGTATTCTAATGTAGCATCACTTAAGATTAGTTATTAAGATAGATTTTCTTAAAATAGTTGTTTATTCCTCAACAAATTAAAACTGTTAGAAGACTGAAGAAGGGAGGGGCGCCTGGGTGGCTCAGTTGGTTAAGTGTCTAACTGGTAATTTCAGCTCAGATCATGATCTCAAGGGTCCTGGGATCAAGCCCTGCATCAGGCTCCACACTCAAGGGAATCTGTTTGGAATTCTCTCCCTCTCCCTCTGCCCCTCTGCCAACTTGCACTCTCTCTCTCAAATAAATAAATAAAATCTTAAAAAAAAAAAAAAAAAGTCTGAAGGAGGAAGAGACAGATATGTGTGCTTAACATCTATGTACATTTAATATATCACATTAAAAATCCAAAATATTAATCTGAAACAACTAAATTATATTAAAAACAACAAAAAAACCAGCTAGGAAAAAAGATGCACATTCAGATCACAGAGAAAATATTCTAAATACTACTGCATAGTGATTTCTTAGGTGAAACAGCTCATTTTCTAAAGGTACAGAGGATAAACTAAATTCCATGATAAAATACAACTATCAAGACTTAGAAGTGAGGACATTAATCAAAGACAAGATGCCTGTTATTCCATCATTTTTACTCAAAATGTCCCTTTTCAAAAAGGTGACAAGTTTATACCGCTTCCTCCACCTTTTTCCCCTACATTACTCGCTACATAGGAAAGAAAAAAGACATCTACCTCACCAAATGGAGTGTAAAACTGCACAGTGTTTACATCTTTATCCTGAGTGACAACCTTCTGGGAGCCTGCCACAGCTAACACGCTGCCGATGTGGTTCCACTGGAT